CAGAGACGAAGGTTCACGACAAACGACATTCATACTAAGAAAAGCATAGGAGATTAACGACGGCAAAGCGTAGGTGTTGAGTAGAAACCTGTTTTTACTCACAGTCTAGGATGGTCCCCTTCCGTCTCTCTTCCATTGATGACAAGAAACACTACGAACTGCTCCCACTCGACTAACTGAATTGCTGGAAATATTTCAATTTGAAACTTTACAGGACGAGGAAGGGCACTGCTGAAGTAAAACATCAACATGCAAATACTCTAGTCCAGTACCTATGGCTGAGTTTCAAAACCTCCTCCCTGATGTTCCTTGGACATGAACAAGACTACTAATGAACTGCAAGGAACGGACGAAAGTCTTGACGAGCAACCAGAAAGTATTCAGCTGCGCGACGGGCAAATGTGAGGGATCAACTGACTGAACCTTTGAACTCTGACCTCTAGTTTGCTAGCGCTCTGTCGATGTATGGAACATTACAGACAGCAGTAGACTGTTCATCTGGTTCATAGTCTGATACAAAATGTATTACTGTGGATGACTGTAATCGGTACTGACTCTTTCTAGTGCAGTGTTCGCTAGCTACACAGCCTAGCCTACGTAGATCTACGTGCACACGTGTAATTGTTACGTCATAGATAAACGTCGATTTTGATACAACAAGGGCTCTAGCAAAGTCTCATGAGCTCAGACATCAGAGTCATTGCTGCGTAGCATCTGTATCTGTGCATAGCACTGGTGAGTAGAGGGGACTAGACCAGAGAAACCACACAACACTCTACAGACCCGAAACAAAGTGGGGACTAGACCAGAGAAACCACACAACACTCTACAGACCCGAAACAAAGTGCAAATTCGGAATCAACTAAGTGATCAGTACAGTGGCCTATGCAATGCACGGCAGGTAGAGATCGCGACATGATCTGCTGACCCCATACACGGTCATACTGTGATCAACCAAGGCATGTGCAAGGGCACAGAAATCTCCACTGCCCAAACCAGTGGAATACAAATGCGACTATGTACCTGGTCTACATGTGGCATACAGTAGGGAAACTCGTATTCATTCATACTCTCGTACGTGATCCACAATAGCTGACCTACTTTCTTGGCTTCATGCTACTAGTAGTGCGACCACCACCCACTGCGTTACATCATGCTACACTGTAGTATGTTCTGGTGGGCCTAAACTGAATCCTACGCCAGAGCACTTCTATCGCCAAAACAGTCTGACAATCTGACAATTCACTCCGTATTATTGGATACTACAGCGTTGCTCAATGAAATCCATTCGCCTCACTCAAGTACGCGCCGCACTTTCCGCAGCCCTAGACCTGCTAACACTGGGCTGGGAAATAATGCAAGGTGCAAACTTGAGTGACGTGACTGGATTTCATTGGGCAGCACTGTACGTGGAGTACTAGATACTTTTGACGTGCCATTCTCTTGAATTCTCTATAAGCAAGTTACAGATATCTACCGTACACATCTCACATGCCTACTAGTGTGTGTTCAGACAATATCCAGTAGACTGTGGGAGAGAGAAAGAGCCATACGTCCATTCAGATAAGAAGTGTTCTTTTCAACGCAGACAAGGTCAAAACACCTCACACAAAGTGATATACACACACACACACACACACACACACACACACACACACACACACACATACACACACACACACACACACACACATACACACACATGACATCACGCACACATACACGCGTACACGCCGGCACGCGTACTTACCTCGATGCGTTTTTGGAGCAGGAGCTGACGGCGTAGTTTGAGCGGCAGCGGCAGCGGCAGGTAGGGTTTGTGTGGCGACGGTAGCACTAGCTACTCGTGTCATTTCGCGTCCGTCCGAGGACACGACAACATCATTTGAATGCAATGAGGAATGGAATCTGTACGGCATCTTGGCACAAGTCTTTAGTCTTAGGAAAAGCAAAGAATCAGTAGACAGTATGGATTGCACTACAGTGAATCTCAGAGAGACAGTGGAGGAACGACAGCATCTAATGTATGTGATTGAACAAGTGCGGCGTCTTCGCGGCACTTTATTCCACGCATGCGCCTAGTAGTCGCTCTAACGTGGCATAAGCATTCAGCTTAGACACTGCAACTGGTTGGTTGCTAGGAGGTACGTTGCGGATTGGTTGAATTTGAATAGGTTCGTTCTTTGGATTGTCTTTGACAACACGGTGTTGTGACAGGCTTGTGGCTGTGCAGACAATGGATGGCTTGTAGCACTAGCCGGAGTAGACTCTCTGAGTAGAGCAGAAACCTGACTCACTAATCACATGATCTGCACAAAAGTCAGGTTGACATACAAACTGTGCGAAGCCATGCATCCAGTCTCCGATTATCCGGGCACGTGATTCACGGATCTTCCGTCCCGCGCTGTGTCTGTGGTGACACCAAGAATCTACCTGCATAATCCTTGGAGAGCGCACCATGCACATAATGTCAAGTACTTGAGACGGGTTGGCAACGGGGTTGCACTATACACACAACAATGGGGCTGTTAAGTGTGACGTCACGGCTCCTTCGATACGCATAGCAACGGAGAGCACTGGGGACAAACAAAAGTCGCGTCCTCTGGATGGAACCAGATGTCAAGGGCAACAGCATCTAAATGACTGGAGAGACAGCAGTTTTTCTTTGCTTTTTCTTCAAGCGATTGTTGTCGCTCTTTGCTCCTTGTTCTTTCCTCTACAAAACTCCTGTAGTCGTCGAGTGCCTTCATGATGGCTGTGAAATTGGCTGCCCACAGTAAAACTCCGTGTTTGAGAGTGCTTTGAAGATGTTTCGCGTCCTGATGGATCAAAGTATGAGCGCTCCTTGTGGATTCGAATATATATAGGTGAGTTGTTCAAGAAATCAGTGTCTTCTTTCTGTCTCTGCCCTCACGCTGGCACAATATCAGCCTCTATATCCATGACAGCTCGCACCTCCCGTAAACTGCATGACTTACCGTAGTATCTCTAATATAAGCACAGTCTCCAATAATAGCACGTCTCCAATAATAGAACACCTTGGGGCGGCATTCAAAAAATAAAGTGCTCAGTCTCCATTATAAGCACACTGTGTAAATTCATTATCTGTACCGGCGAAAAAAACCCTGAAATGTGTGCGTCATACATGAATTTGGCATGGCAACATGCCTCTGAAATGAGGTTGAAATAATAATGGAACAGTCTCCAATAAAGGAACGTCTCCAATAATAGCACGGGGCGGAGGTACATTGAAAAAATAAAGGACCGTGCTTATATTAGAGATAATACGGTAGATATATTTTCGCCCTCCGTGGTGATTGAAGACCCATGGAAGAATTTATTATGTTCAGAATGATGTCCTAAGAATATAAAATATAATAATTCTAGGGAATTGTCATAGGGTATTTTTGGAAGGATGGAGACAGAGAGAGAGAGCACTGTTTGAAGTGTTTGTCTCACTGTAATTACTCCAGATTATTGAATGTTGTATGATCTACTCTATATTTTCCACAATGGTTTTTCCTGATTTGCGGGATCTCTTCTTTTGCTGTTTGCGTGTTTACAGGAAGTGGCTGTCTGGTGTAACTGCACCAGATCCTGGGGAAATTAAGTCAGATGCAGAGGAAGGGTCGTCCAGTGATGCAACACTGCCGTTCTGTGTGCAGCGTTACCGCTAATACCCCCGGCGAAAACACAAAAAGACAAACACGTGAAAAGACTACAGTATTGACCGTTCTGCTAATAAATGCATGACTGCTCCGACAGTCGATAATCAAAACACAGAGCACCAGCATGATGTTTTCATATTGGGAACCACACAACAGCTCAATTCTCAAGCCCAAAAATTGATGAATACAAATACAGAGCGACGCAACAATAGATCATCCGGCAACCAAACAAACCTGGGTCTAATGCACTGAATAGTCCTGAAATACGCAGGCCAGACAAAGCAGTGCAAGCACATAATGTTACAAGGTACATGCATTGCAGAACAAAGTGTAACCAAAGATACACAGGGTTAAAGCTGCACACTTGTGCATGTGCTCGCTCAGCCCAAGAACACACGATCATGATGATAGAAACAATCCGGGGGAAACACGCTAACACCGAAGTAAGCATCAACACGTAAATAGTGCAGCTCTGAAAAAATTACAGTGACATGTACATTGGTGTGTCGAGTAGTGTCAGGCTTGAATAATCATCCAACCAAGACTTCATCAGGTCCCAGACGCTGAGATCGCACGCCGAATGTGAAGTGCATCTAGCCTTGAACCTGTCGCACAAGGCACACATATAATTATGGCAAAATGACATCCACTCTGATTATTTCCAGAGGCCAATCATGACAGAACACAGAAATGAAACCACGGGCTCAACCAAGTAAACCCAAAGGAAGTTAGTCAAAATAATCCATGCAGTGCTCTTTTAATTGCAGCGCTGATTGCAGTGTTGCGTCATAGCCCGATACCCGCTGAGCACAGACACAACTCCATTCGTCAGGGGCAAGACATACTCTTTTGGAATAAAGTCATAAAGTACAGCGTTCCAATGACATTACGGACACCTCGTGCAAATGCATGGTCTGTTCATCTGGCCGACTCGGCCACGCATGAGAGTGTGTGCATGTACATGCGCGCGCTTGCGCGCGCGCACACACACACCATGTATTCGGTGCGTATGGTGTACCAGTTGCGGGACAATGAAGATGGAATCATTATCATGATGTTACATGTACATCTACAGTGTATGTTTGAGTGTAAAGTAAATTTTATTTTATTGCACATTTCTTCGACACAACTAATTACTTACTTCACATGTTCGCATTTCTCATAATCGATCCACCTGCACTCCGTATCAGTCGAGGAAAAATTCTCCCAGATATACACTAGTCACCACAGCCATGTGATGACATTGGGTTGGGCCCCAAGCACGATTGCACTCTCTAGTTACAATAAATTTGGCCAAATTATCTGTGAAGACAAAATGCAATGCATAGCGGCAATCGATGGATGAAGAGAGAGTTTGTAAATTCCTATATCTTTCCACTTGTTCAGGAGCTTACCTTTTGGAGTTCACATCGTTTACACAATCTCTCATGCTGTCTTGCACCTTGGTTTTGTATTGTATTGTATTTATTTAAAAGGATTCTCCAAAAGCAAATGGATGCTTATCACGGAAGTCTCCCACATAAATATCGCAAGAAAAATGGGGAAATGGGGGAGAGGAGAGTGGAAGATGAAGCATGGGATGAAGGGAAACAAGTACCTAAATATCGAGGTATAAAAGCAGGAAAGAAATCGACGAGGGAAGAAATCACCTCTGCAGATAATAGCGGGACATTTAGATTGTTGACCATGGATACGCCATCCCAGAAAACATTCTACAGGAGCTACTAATGCAGAGCGTTTTTCACGCTCGATCTCGGCGATCTACCTTGTCACGCCAATAAAATCCTCCGTGAGACTGGCTACAGTCACAAGAGACGTCTCAGTAAGGTAATGAGCACGACAACATCGTCGAGATCAAGGACAAAGAGAAAACAAAACACTCACTGAAAACAGCAAAGAGGAAACGAAGAAATGTACACGATTCCTATATGTTGCCACTGACAACTGGTTCGGTGGAGACGACGCTACTTTTGTTTGTCCCCAGTGGGATCGTTGTTATGCGTATCGAAGGAACTGTGACGTCATCACTTAACGGCCCCATGCTTTCCTTTTGGGTCAGGCGATAACGAAAACTCGCATCACGTGGTGTAGTGCTCATGAGTGATGTCGGACTTGCACAGATGTGTCCAGGGTGATTCTAGTGAGCCGTGGTGAAATAATATTAACCTCCTTGATCTTCATGGCTCATTCGAGACCATGACAAAATACACCCAATATACCGTCACGGTTTTCATTCATTTCAACTAGCACGTATTCTAATGCAATCTGAAAATGTCACAGCTGATGCTTACGCACACACCAATCCCTTGCACACCCGTTTTGAACAGATCCCAGCCCTGGAACGAGCTGATGCAGGCACATGGTATGGTATGGTATGGTATTGATTTATTTTAATTCGGTATCTCAACAGTACAATGTACAATTTGGGAAGATCCCGTTGACATAGATACATAAAAAATAAATGTACATTGCAAACTCTGCTCCCTCGTGACCCGTAGTCCTAACAATGCCGTACCCTTACTCTCGGACGATCAAGGACAATGCACCCAAGAACGAGCAGATCAGAATGTTACCAGGCATACATGTATGATACCCGTCTGTACAAGGTGGCTCGGCCATATACAAATTCAAATTTCCACATGAGAATAAGTGTTCTGTAGAGGCGTGCTCCTGCCTCGGCACACACCCAAACCACACAAAGGACCAGCTCACGACTATCAAGAGAACTCTGTTAGAAAACTCTAGCTCCAAGTCGCAATTGCTTGAAACCTTTCACCGAACTCGTAAGCACTACAGCCTACTATAGCCAACTCACTACTGTAGTGAAAACGGAGTCTAGCTTATAACACTTGCATGCCAACAACTCCATCAGCAGGCGCGAAAGAAGGTGAAGACAAAGCCTGTGACATAAAAGTGTGAACCCTAACGAAAGTCACAGCTACATGTAACACAAAACGAGAGTGCATGTCAGTGACACGTGCGACCTCCTGAACATTGTCCCCTTCCCGATATGTTGAAAAGTAACATCGAAAAGCATAATCGCAACTCAACAAACAAATTTCCAATGCGACAAAAGCATTATTCCGAAAAGCTGTTGAAGAAATACAGCAAATAAACAATGTGAACACATTCAAGAAATAGTGAATCAAACTTTCCTTGAAATCAGTTTCACAAACGTCTCTGGCTGATTGTTGTCACCTAGCCAATGTGACACCAGGGGCTTTAGCACAAGCCAAGCGGAAATAGTCGCGTGACAGGGCATGTCTTCTCCTTGTCGCCCACAAGCACCTTAGCCACTCGTACATGTCCATCTGGACCAGGAAAGACTGCCGTAATTCTTCCCAACGGCTAGTGCCCTCGCGACGTGTCGGGATGAAGAACGTCTGGTTGAGTATTTCTCTCCGGTGGTCGCCACAAGAAACGCAAGTACGGTTGGTCCTCGGAGTGATTTCGAATCTGAAGGTACATCTCCCGAATATCACCGACAATGGTTACCGAGTTGCGCCGGAATCCGAGAAGCACTTCCAGTATCTCTCGCTGCAGCCTAGGGCCCGGCTCTATGCAGTCGCTGAAAACCATGCTGTAATTGTCGGGCAGTTTTGATTTCTGGCCATTCCATTGAAGGTGAATCTCGTTCCCAGCCCCGTCGAGTTGCCGCATTGACTGCTCAACTTCAGGCTTCACACTGCGGTCCTTCATGTGCCAGGAGGGCTCAGGGCTGATACCGCCTTGATCAACGTCCTGTTGCCGGTTCAGCTGTATGCCACAGTAGGTGCTGTTGGCGCGGGTTGGTCGATCATCATTGTTTAATACTGCTCCAATACATGTCCAACCTAATGGCGTTCTGCGAGCTAGCGGTTCTCCCGGCTTGCCATTGACTTCCTCCCAGCAAGAATGCAATTCACTATGATCACTGCCAATTAGAAGGTCCACTGATTCCTCGGTGAGAGCCGTGAAGGGAACATCTCGCAGGTGGTCCCATTGCGCTGCCGCATTCGCCCAGTCAACAGCCTTCAAGTTGCTTGCGATGCTTTCAATAGTTAGCGCCGTTAATTTGGACTGGAATCTTCCATCAGCGCTTTCCACTGTGATGTTGACCGGCGTCGTGACGAATGTTTCCGTCAACCCGCTCAGAAGAGAAACTGATGCCTGCTGCGGTCTTCCTGCCACCCTTAACTGGTCGGCAGCTGCAGTGGTTATGTAGGTGGTAGTGCTGCAATCGTCCAACATAGCATTAACCTGTATCCGTACTCCTTCATGCACAAGCGACACCGGGAGGATGCGTAACGAGACCGATGGTACTCCACGTGGCCGATCTTCTCCCAGATCGGGCTCCCCTTCCGTGATGTTGCATGCTTGGATGGAGCAATTAATAGAGGCTGGCTCTATTGCAGGTGTTGTTGCCCCTCTTGTGCTGATTGAAACTGTGGGAGCGCTTGACGATGCTACATCACTGCTCATGGCTGCTTCAGACAGGTTCCGTTTCTGCTGCGGTTGACGATCATGAAGCAGCTGGTGATGTGTCTGACTGCAGCCACTGACACCGCACTTCCTGTTTCTGGTACAGGATGTCCCTCGATGTCCAGTGCCAAGGCACCTATAGCAGAGGCCTTTCTTCTTTGCTGTTTCCCACCGCCTGCTGGGCGACTCGCTCTTGAAGATATCACAACTCCATGTGTGATGGGGCGCATCACATACTGCACACTGGATTTTGGCAGCGCTCTGACCAGAGACCAGGAATGACAACGCGTGGGCTCCGGAACTGCCACCGAACGTTGGTCGACTTCTTGCAGGGGCTGGTTTAGTCGGCAGCGCCGCTGCATGATGACCATCCGCAGAACTGACTCCGTGGGCCATCTTCGCTGCTCCAGTAGCGAATTCTGCCTCGAGAGTCACCCATTCCAATAGCGTTGGTACACTGCTGGGTTTCGTGTTGTTGTGACGCCAACGGTTAAACTGGGTCAGCATGGGCATGGGCAGCTTGTTTTGCAGCTGTCGGAACAGAAGACCATCGCCCAGCTCATATTCCTTGCCTGCATCCGCCATGTTCACTATCAGCACATCCAGCAAATCGGCGAATCTCTGTAGGTCTCCAGGCCGGCCTGTCCGGAGGGCGGGGAACGACTCTATTTCCTCAAATTGGAGGTTTGTCTGTCTCTGCTCGCCACCAAATTTCCTGTCTAAACGGTTTACGGCGGCTTCGTAGGCATGGGCCGAGTAGCCTAGGCTCTGGATGGCGACCAATGCCTCTCCACCTAAATACTGCTTCAGGTGCAGCAGCTTCACCTCCGGACTTGAGCTTGTCTGCCCAACACAAGCCATGAATGCTGCTCTCCAGGCACGATAGGCTCTCTTGTTGCCTGTGAACGTTGGAATTTGTATGGGTTTCAGCCGCCGGAATATCTCGTCCGATGACTGCTGATGCCATGTTTGGCCTGGTGCTACTGATGGCACCGGTACTGGTGCGGCAGTCGACCCTGCTGGTTGCAAACCCATGACCTGTGGAACGTGTGGGCTCCACAGACTAGCTGCTGGCACAGTGTGCACGCCGACCACACCACTGGCGCCAGCCCACTGCCGAGATGCAGATGTAATTACTGGCGACTGAGTAGTGGTGTGACGGGTGTCAACGGATTGCTGGAATAGCGTGGCAGAAGCGGATCCAGGCGACCTGCCGATTGCGCTGAATAGCGTTGCAGGTACGGATGATCCAGGCAGCCTATCGATTGCGCTGCTTCCGCTGACTGTCTGCTGGGATGCAGGCATCTCTGGCCTCATTCCGTTTGCGCTGTTGGCGCTGGCAATCTGGAGTGCTAACGTTTCAGCCGGTGACACAGGTAGGTTGCTGGTCATGCTGATCGCTCCAGTGCCGTTCGCGGTGTTTGCGCTGATCAATCCCCAAGGCGCTGATCCTGCAGCTAGCGCAGAGGTCACAGGCTGTGCGCTGTCCGCGCTGGTCTGAATTTCCGACGCGTGCACAGGCCCGGATCCAAGGCGGCAATTGCGCTGAATAGCGTTGCAGGCTCGGATCTGACGCATGTGGTGCGCTGCTCGCGCTCATCTGGGGAACAGCCGCAGACAAAGGCGGACCGCTTGTCGCTCTGTTCGCGCTGTCCAAGTGCCCGCTGGCGCCAGACTCGAAAGCGGCAGCAGCTGGCGCGCCGCTCCCTCCAACCTGCGCCGCAGCCGCGGACAAAGGCGAGCCGCTTGCCCCTCTGCTCGCGCTGACCTGGGTCTTAGACGGAGTGAGCGCTCTGCGGACCAACGGCGTCTCTGGTCGCAACTCATCCGTGCCCATGGTGACTTTCGGTCCGCTTTCGCTGGCCGCCTTG